GGAAACGGATAATGGTCCTAGGGTCCATTGGTATCCAGGAAGAAGGAAAGAAATACAGAAAAGAACGGGGAGAGAAGGAAGAACGGTCTAGAGGAAAAAAGTGGAAAACGTAGAAAGGCGGTAAGAAACCTCCAAAGATGTAAACTACAGTTTTGGATGCTCCTAAACCGGTGGTATGCACCTAGATGTTGAAAGGCGACATATGGAATCTACAGAACTAGAGATGCATATGGGAAAACAACAGTCTCTAAAGTGTCCACGCAAGGCCCCTACGATCGAATGGAGGCGGATATACAGAAAGAAGCCAACAGTAAAATGCAGCGGTAGATTCTCGCGAGCGGCTCCGTCAGGAAGCGGGTAAGGGCCAGAAGGAAAGAAATACAGAAAAGAACAGCAAGAGAAGTCAGAAAGGCCTAGAAGGAAAAAATGAAAACCGAGAAAGGAGTTACTGTAACAGAATGGAATGGAACCTCCAAAAATGTAAGCTACATTTTGGACGCCCGTAAACCGGTGGTATATACCTAGACATTGAAAGGCAACATATGAAAACTACAGAAGTAAAGATGTATATGGTTAAGAACAGCCAATAAAGTGGTCCACGCAAGGCCCCTACGATCAAATGGCAACTGCGAATTCAATGCAAAATCCATATGAAGTTGATCAAAACAATGTAATTTGCCTAGAGAATATGATTTATATAACTTGAAATAATCAGATACTTGTGGCAAGAGTATATATACATTGTTTGCCTGATATTTTGCATAAAAACACCTTATTGGGCCATGAGGTGTTGGTTACATTCCCATTTCAGCATGGAGTGGGGAACCTGCAAAAATGTAAGCTAGATTTTTCTGCACTTTGGACTAAGAAAATGCGATCTACATTTCCCGAAGGAACAAACAAAAATGTAACTTACATTTTTCTGAAAACTGTAGCTTACATTTTTGAACGGGCTACCCAAAATGTAGCCTACATTTTTGCAGGTCCCCCCTCACTTAGGAGCAGGGATCAAAAAGCATACAGAAAGTCAATGTCCTAAAACAGCACCCCAAGGCGATACCCCAACGATACACGAGAGAGCGCAAAAGGGAAGCTCCTTAGACAGTGCCCCACGCGCAAGTCTGCAAAGGTGCAGGCAGGCTTGCGTCTTCTAGTGACAGAGATCAGATCAGCAAACGAGCAGCAGAAACCAACCATGTTGCGCTTGCTGGAGCTGCTCCGCAAACGGTGCGTTGTCCTTCCTCATTTCACAGAGCTCGTCACACTTCCAGCATTTGCAGGGGAAGCTCTGGTTCCAGTGTCTTGCTGTTTGTGCGTTTGCGTTTGTGTTTTGTTTGTTATTATCGGTGACATTCATTGTTGGTGGCAAGACTACAGGTAAAACCTGCCAAATGATACGTGCAGCTTTCATTCTACCAAACATTGGAAAACGATACGAGACGTCGTAACTTTGCATGTATACAGCTTAAGCGAGTAATTTAGAAAACGGCTCATGTGACAGGTTCAGTCATGTTGAAACATGTTGAAACATCAATTATGACTGCGCAAGCCGAATGCATCACACAGACGCAGTTGGAGAGGTCAACCCTTCCGTGTGCGTTTTCAAAACTAGAACGCGTTACCAAAGGATCATTTGTATGCTCTGAGGCTTGCGCAGCTGTGAACCCCAGCAACCCCAACCCATCCCAGCGCCAAGGTTGCCCTGGGCACAGCCCAACACTCAAACCTGTGAAATTGACCGAGCACGTGACCACAAAACACCATTTGAGCCAGAAAAAAAAGGTGGATTGATGTAAAGTAGTATTGTCGGATCCTTCGTTCAGAATTCCACGCACCGCCGCAGCTATTTCTGATGTTTTCTGTCTTTGTGGAATGTGTTATTTAGTTGGGGAACGACCCTCCAGACGACGTCCAAAACGACATTGGAACGACCTCCTTAACTACGTGCATCATGTATTTGCTGCTGCTGCTCTTGCTCCTCTTGCTTCTCCTGCTCCTGCTGTTGCTCCGCTCCTTCTGCTGCTCCTGCTCCTCCTGCTGCTCCTGCTGCTGCTGGTGCTGCTCACCACCGATGGACAGTATTTAGCCAAATTTCTCGGCGAAAAAACGACCTCTGAACGACATCCGCATTTCAGTCAGAATGACCACTACTACTGACTACTTCTACTTCTACTACTACTACTACTCCTCCTGCTGCTGCTGCTCCTGCTGCTGCTGCTGCTGCCCACTTTCGCTGGACAGTATTAAGCCAGATTTCTCGGCGAAAAAACGACCTCTGAACGACCTATGAACGACCTCTGAGCGACGTCCGCATTTCAGTCAGAATGACCACTACTACTGACTACTACTACTACTACTTCTACTACTACTGCTGCTGCTGCCACTGCTACTACTACTGCTGCTGCTGCTACTACAACTCGTACTGCTACTACTACTACTACTACTACTACTACTCTTACTTCTGCTAATACTACTACTACTATTATTATTACCACTACCACTAGCACTACCACTAGCACTACCACTACCACTACTACTACTACTACTACCACCACCTTTTACCTACTACTTACTACCTACTACCTACTACCTACTGCTACTGCTACTACTACTACTACTACTACTACTCTTCCTCCTCCTACTCCTACCCCTACTCCTGTGTGCTCCTACTCCGACTGCTGCTGCTGCTACTGCTGTGTTTTTTGTTTTTGGTGCTACTACTACTACTACCACTACTACTACTACTACTACTACTACTACTACTACCATGATTGCCGCCATCGCCACATATGAAGACCGCCGCTTGTAAATCATACGATTTGCTGTTGGGATCATGATTTGGCTACCAGGTTTTTTTCTAGCTCATTTGTGGTGCTCGCGCCTCCCTCGCGAACACAGGGTTCAATGAACAATTATGTGTTTTTTTGTTAGTGTTGAACAGCCGAATTTGCTCGATTACATTAAGTGCCTGTTGTTATTGTCTTGTTCCTTTTACAACCACGACGTCTACGTCTACTGTCTACTATTCTCTACTGTTACTGTATTTCTCAGCAACAACGACACTTCGACTGAAAGTAAAGAACAGCGGTACTCCAGAACCACCGTGACGCCGTGACCATTGCAACCGCGACCCGTTATTTTTTCGCGCCGCCACGACACTGCACACAACTGTGGGACGACCGTAATCACAAAGGACGATGCCGCCGCTGTGGCGGCCGCTGGCAGGGCCGCTTGCTACTACACTCGACTCTGCAAGTAGTTGTGGGCATAACCGCCACCCCAAATGGACATTTGCCATTGAAAAGTTAAAGATGTCTGGAACATGTTGAAACATACGCAGCCCAAATGTCGAAAGTTGCGAACTGATGCATCACAAGTGTTGGAATGTTTGGTTTCAATATATATTGTATGTTTGTTTTTTTGCTGCTGGAACGTTCCAGTTTTTGCTTTGATATGCTTTGATGCGGTTTGGAATTCCGATCAGGTTGGGCATCGGTTGCTGAAGCATCCAATCTTTGCCGGTATGCCGTCGCAATTTTTAACTCGGCTTAGTCTCCTATTTGAGCGGAAAGTTATCCACCCCCAGACTGTGATCTTCGGCGAAAATGAAGATGGGTCGACGATGGTTGTTTTCAATGTGGGCAAAGCCGATATCATCTTTAAAGGCCTGCAGATTAGCATGCTTTGGCCTGGAAAGTCCTTTGGCGGGGCACAAATGATGGGAGTGCAGCACCAGTACCATGCCACAGTTCGCACCAAGATGATGTGCCATGTGTTGCTTCTAAGCCATGAACAATTTTGCACACTGACACCACCCGGACCGAAGCGCCCTTGGGTTGCAATATTGAGACACAGAACAAAGACGGCATACTCTCAGGAGTTGAAACTTTTCAAGCAAAGACATATGCAATGCAGAATCCTCAACCAATCGGGCGTCTCAACCACGCAAATATCGTCAGCGATATATTCTAAGATGGTGCTTTTGCACCATATCCTCAAGGCGTGGCGAACACTGGGTGAGGAACAAAGTAGGCAGAACTCGGAACATGGGATTGAGCGGAAGGAGGCAGGCTCAGACGACGGCCACTTGCAAGAAGGGCAGGCTCAGACCGTGAAGCCTCCTTTGCGTCCTTTGCGGCCATTATTCTTTAGCAGGGCTTTGAGGCGGACCCGCCTCCTTATCCCTGGCAAGAGACGAGTCCAACACAGCAAGAAGGGTCGAAACAGTCGAGCCACATACATCAATAGATTTGACGACTTTTGACAGACAACGTGATTTGACAACATCAATACCGCGTGATGTTGTTTACATGTTTTGGCAGTTTGAATCAGGGAAAACCTGCCCACAGCTCGAGAACACCTTGAGCTATGTACATAAATAAAAGAGACCAATCACCAGACATTTTGGCTTTGCAAGCTCTCGAAACAGAGAGTTTTGCTTTAGCTTGGATAATGTTGCCCAGAGTTTGCTCAAATCTGACCAGGGTTTGATGCGTCGCAGCCCCAAGGCTATTGTGCCCCCTGCGAACAGTTTGCGCTTGTTTACCTCTATATATAATGAAGCCATCACAGCCTTGACAACCATCACAGCCTTGACAACTGCTGCCACTATATATACTAAGTTTAACGGATGTGAGCAGCCTGTGTTTGTGTCAGGTAGAGTTCAAACACAGATACGTGTGCGTGTGAAAAGGACATGGCAAGTCTACCACGTTTGCTTGCACGCTGTTGTTGCTTTGGCATGATACCGAAGCATACGGTTCAAAGTAGCAAGAGCAAGAGATTACTGTACTTCTTTACAGTGGCTTTTAGACCAGAAGATGATGCATTTCAACAAAATTTTGTAATATATATATATATAGTGTTTTCAACGTTCAAGTAGGAAATGTTGCTGGAGAGAAATAGTTCGTCTGGCAGAAGAGCAACCCTCATCAGTCCATCGTGGAGCTTGCGCGCACAAATGAAGTTCAACGTTTTAAGATACATAATATAAGAGAATGCCTTGAAGCACATTTGGCAGCGCTACATTGCCTATGGATTGCAATCTCGATGCAGAGAACCAGGAGATCTTGTTGGGAACCAGCCTGAGTAGTAAGGAATCCACAAGGGAGGCAAAGGATCAAACTTAAGTCGCCGTGACGGAAAGCAGTTTGTTGACAAACTTGTTGAGTCTTCAAGAAAGGAAGACTGCCAGACTGTCATCACAGGAACTTCACATTGGAGGGAAGGACGGGGAGTGTGAGCTTTACATTGCCAGAGACGCCAACCTGGCTTCTAAGTTGGGCAGTTGTGTGCGTGCAGTGTGTTGAGATTACTTTGGGCAAAAAGTTGTTTAGACATTAACTGATTTCTTTGATGGGCGACATTCATTCCTTTCTGCAATTGTCACAAGCGCGACTTTATGTCACTGTCATGACTCATGACAGTTGGAGACCTGTGAAGATCCTTGGGTCTGGATCATATGCCACAGCTGGAAACTAAGCGCACCGAATCCAAGTTGGAGTCAGACACTTGTCGCTGTAGGTGTAGCACTGTCGGCTGGGAGTTGTTTATTGAAGTTTGAAAGCCCTTTAAGGGAGATGTAGCCTCACGAGCTTTGAACAAAGTCGACTATCGCCTTGTCCCGACATGTCTCATGTTTTGCAACTGGTCCGCAATTGAAGATCACCTTGTTTGTCAGCCTGGTTCCAAGCAGGTCTACATGATTATAGTATGACTTGAACAAATCGATTACAAATTCAGAACCTGATGGAAATTGAAACTTGCCTACCCCTACTCTGCTTTAAAGTGTGAACATGCGCCGTCCGCACTTCACAAATGCATGCAGAATGTGTCGGACCTGCAACGGTTTGTTCCTTTCTGTTTTTGCTCCAATATATATATATATAATTTTATATATACATTAGTTTCTTTGGTGAGCAGTCAAATTCCTGGGTATTGATCTACAACTCTTAATTGAACATTGAACTCCCAGCTTTCTCGGCTTTGAGCTTTGCTCACTGCAAACGGTGCGTTTGTTTGCTATTTGCAGCTCGTGCAAGTGGAGCTGTGGGAAAACAAAACGTTGCATTGAGATCTATAGAAACAGCCGTCCAAACTGTAGCACTGTAGCACCTGCTTTGGGCCACAATCTAAGCAGAAGGTAAGATAGCAACCTATATTATGCGGAGTGAAAATACATCCCCCTCAACTGAAGTATCTTTGATAATTTGATACTGAATCTGAAGCTGGGCGCGGAGAGTGCCTCATTGTGCAAAATCAAGTCACTCCCCGCCTTCAAAGGAATTTTGAGGGTTGGCTGCAAATGAATTTGGCGTGTGAACTGAGACTTGGCTCAAACTTCCTAACCCCACCGCTTCCAGTGCCAGCATCCCTGGCTCCAAGCGCAAGTCCGGCCGTATCACTGGCCATGTCACTGCTGCCAATGGCCTCTCGATCATGGCCGCACCAATACGACTATGCGCTTGCCATGCCTCGTCTCACCCTTCTTCTTCCATTTGAACTTGGCTGCTGCTTTGTTCTGTCGCTTCTCCTGCATGTTCAGCCTGCCGCGGCGTTGCAGTACTTATGCGCGTCCTCAAGGATGACTCTTGTCTGATGGAGTGAGTTCCATCCCAAGTCAAAGGCACAGCCTTTTGATTCAGGAGTCCAAAATGCAACCAGGTGTCCCAACATTGGGGCATTAGAATAGAGTGTTCTTAATAGACTCACCACCCAGCCACCCATGGCTGTGACTCAGCACCCATGGCTGACACGTGACATGAGATGGTCCTTGGTGTCCAAGATCCTAAGATGCTTGACATGAGATGATCCTTGAGTGTCCAGGATCCTAAGTTAAGTTTGTATATTTGATGTTGATATAGTAACACAGTATATATATATTAATATATACATAGATCGGCATAAATAGATAGATAGATAGATAGATAACAATTTATCCACCACATAATGGGGATTGATTTGGAACCACATGCTTGTTCAGTCAAAACGGAGGAAACAGACTGCAAGATTCAGGAATGTAACGATGATGATAGCAGTGCCATTGTTGCGCGCTTTTTGAACCGTGTTTTCGCGCAGCCTCTTTTCACTGGCAATGACATTTTGCTCATTGTCAACACGATGGCACCATCGCACGCTTTGATCATCAAACAGCCATGGGCTGACCAAATACTAAACGGTCACAAGACCTGGGAGATTCGTTCATCGTCAACCAAGAGGCGTGGTAGAATCTGCGTCGCCGTCAGTGGCACGAAGTGTTTGTACGGCGAGGTCACTGTGACAGGTTGCCGCAGGGTTGGGAAACGAGACCGTGAGACTGGTCAGCTCTTGGAGTGGGGCGAGTCTTCTGACTTTATCGCCCACAATTGGCAGAAGCACAGGATCGAAGATCTGACACAAGCGCAGTATCCAAAAATGTTTGCATGGACCCTGGCCGATCCTACCAAGTATGAGGAGCCGGTTCCATACTCACATACAACAGGCTGTGTTCGATGGATCAACCTTGGCAACCCAGGACCCGCGGTGAAACCGACTCTGGCTTTGAAGGTCAAAAAACGACCTGCCAAACCCAAGGGAAATTCTTGATACATATATATAGAAGAAACTCAGCATATGGTGAACAGAAAATGCAGCTAGCTGCAGTGTCACGGGCATGTTATTTTTGGAAGATGCTTTTAGATCATCTCCTTCGCGCTTTAGTTCTGAGCATTGCGCCAGTGTTCAATTGGAAACTTAGTTGTTTTTTCTAGTTTGCGTTGAAGTTGGCTGTTGGTTTCGTGTGTGGGTGGTCCACGGTTATCTCGCGTCGATGCGCAGTATTGTTTCGCAGCCGTATGCTTTTTGCAAAACTGCATCATGACGCTCCAGAACGTGGACGCTTTGAGTGAGCGTTGGACTCAGGATGAATCTTCAGATTGGTTTGCTTACAGGCAATTCTTTAAGTGTTGGATGTTGTTGTTTTGTTTTGATCTCCCTCGCCCAGTGATGATGGCTGCGTGGAGCCTATGAATGCGTCATCGCCTCCTCGACGACGAAGATCGGCCAAAAACCTGAAGGGTTCTGTGAAGGCCATGCCCTCAAAAAGAATTCACGGTTCAAAACTTAAACACTGTATACTGTTTACTTCGTGAAGTTGGTGACAATAAATAGTTAGTAAGACAAATGTCTCATTGACCTCCGACTCCTTCAGGTCGCTGGGCGATTCCCAAGGTTTGGCATCATGGCTGCCAACGGGGTGATCCAGGCTTACAAGCCTTTTTGCATCCCAAAGATTCCCAAGATGAGGATTCGATTGGCGTTTCGATTGAATAGTAATCCTTCTTACTAGATCATAGCAAGTCATTTGCTTGTCATTTGAGAACTGCCTCGTCATTCTTGTTGCGCGCTGGCAGCCATCAGTTTTTGTTGGGCGCGAAAGCCAAGGTTCCCAGAAAGGTCAAGAAGGGCACGAAACTGAAGACCAAATCTTTGGTCAAGAAACCAACTACAGTTTGCAGCTTTGGGACCATCCGATTTTCATCAGCAATTAGTTGACAAGTTGCTGGGACAGCTTATTGGAGGTGAACTGATTCTAACCACTTGGTTTATTTTCGTCTTGACAGTGTCAGGATGCTTCACAGGGACGGTGCGCGCCACCGTGAACTACTTGTCAGTTCGGGGCAAGCAGGATAGGGCGTGACTGTCATGGTGTCCTTGTCAACAAGAAAATGAAAGAGACAAAGAGAGACAGTCAGAGAGAGAAGGATACAGAGAGAGAGAGTGTGTGTGTGTGTGTGCGAGCAATCAAAAGCAATACGTTTTCTATTAGTCTTCAGGATCTTGCCACTCAGATCCGGTACTGGGACAAATTTGTGGCCGAATGTCGGCAGACTGGCGTCGCTATAACACGAGCAAAGCGCTTTGTGCCATGCGATCTTGCCGCATGGATGGTAGGTCTGACAGCATTTCTTGAAAGTTTGTGGTTTGGTGCGAACACCAAATGATCATTGCTCAGTATGTTTTTGTTGGAGGCCTTCCAAGGGGCTGGTCCTCTCCAGATGCAGACGTGCCCAAGAGCTCTGTCAACCGCTTGTTCGGTGCTGTGAAGGCTTGCCATGCTACATACTAACCTGTTGTAGCTGATCGCCTTTTCTGGCAGGGGAAGCAGTACCGGATCATATCGGTGTTCTCCGGAATCGGAGGACTCGAACTTGGACTACGCCAGCCTTAATCTCAGAGCTGTTCAATCATCAATGAAGACAAAATGGCTCCAAGTCAAGAATCCCCGATCAGGTACTGCAAGGCTTTGACTTTTGCCTCGGGCTTGGTGTTGGATCACTCGCGGACCGTATAGTTATTATTTGTTGTGCGATGGTTCCACAAACATTTCATTCTGAAAAGAATTAATATTCAGCATCCATGGGTGGTATGTGTTCTTGACATTCTATATAAGGCTAGTGTCGTATGAACGCGATTTGCCAAGGTTGAGCGAGATCAATTTTGCCAGGAAGTCTTACGGAAGCGTCAGTCTGAAGGGCACCTGCCCAGGGAGGCCAAGGTTTTCAGTGATATTGTGGAATATCACCCCGATGCAAGCGTCGCCAGCCAAGCAGACGGCATAGTGGGAGGATTGCCTTGCCAGGTTTCACGCCTGAAAATGTGCGCAAATACGGAGGTTGCGGTTCCATTTTTAGTTCACGTCCTTTGATTGAATTGTTTAAGTTTGTGTTTGTCACGCAGTTCTCACCTTAACCTTTTTTGCGCTAAGGGAATATCCCTGGCAGGGCTTCAGCGTGGGCTCAGCGATTCAAGGTCGGCCCTAGTGGCCCACATATTTAGGCTGGCTGACGAGTGCCCGAATCTGCGCCTTGATGGGAACTTGCTTGTAGCTCTACTTGTGGTTTCCTGCGCTATTCTTTACAGTTCACATTTAGTGGTCGCCTACTAGGCAGTTCATTTTGCTTGAAAACGTGGCGCACCTCCTTTCAAAGAAGATGGTACCATTGATGACATATGTCCTGGAGGACGCCTAGAGTCCCACCTAAATTCCACGACCGCTGCAAGCATTAACTGATGTTTGTTGTGAAATAGGTTCTCCATTTTTTGGGGGTGCTGTGGCCTCCAAAAAGCAGAAAGTTGCCAGTGTGACTGTGACTGTGTTAAAATCAGCGCGCAACCCATTGATCATTCCTTGACAGGAGCTGCGGAAGAGAGGCTTCATCGTGCGCTGGAGTGTGGCCACGGGGCATAATGTCGGCATTCACGTGTGAACCTCATGACAGGGAAGGGGATTTCTTTCTTGAGACCATATTTGACTTCTTCCAGTTTTAGCTTTGTGGCTGAGATTTTTCGAAAGCGGGTGTTCCTTCTCGCGACGAGCGGCTTTTGCTTTGAGGACTAAAGACTAGTTCGATCATTGCGAAATCAAGCTTAAGTTTTTTGTTGATTAACTCGCTGAAGTTCGCATTGTTTTGAGCACAATTTGTCTTACA